GTGTGTCAATCGGCCGAAGACATGATCAGAGAGGGACACTTCGCTTCCGAAGAGATCCAAAAGCGAGTTTACGGACTCAACGATCGCTGGCATTCACTCAAAGATAAGGCCAATCAACGGAAGCAAGACTTGGAGGACTCACTGCAGGCGCATCAGTACTTCGCCGACGCCAATGAGGCCGAGTCCTGGATGAGAGTGAGTAACACTTACGCCAATGTTTAGTCATTAATATTGCCCGCTATTGGTCTGAATATATGATGAATTACTTGCCCTCTCATACGGTGTACCCCTTTAAGGGGTTACAGGCTATGATTGATCCATTTTATTCTGATTATTAGTTATGGTTATTTTAGTTGAGTTGATTTTATATTGTTTAATCAGTTTTTAGCGTTTGGTTGATTGGCCTTTAATTTGATAACTAAACTTTTATTTGCAATGATTTACTAATGATTGTGTATTAATACGAATAGGAAAAGGAGCCGATCGTGGGTTCGTACGACTTCGGCAAAGACGAGGACTCGACGGAAGCGTTGCTGAAGAAACACGAGGCACTTCTAGCCGATTTGGACGCCTTCTCCAACACTATTCAGGCGCTGAGAGAACAGGCGGGCAATTGTAAGCAACAGGAACAGCCCACTGTCGACCAGGGGGGCAAAGAGTGCGTTATGGCGCTGTTCGACTATCTGGAGACCTCCCCCCGCGAGGTGTCCATGAAAAAGGGTGATGTACTCACACTCTTGAACAGCAACAACAAGGACTGGTGGAAAGTGGAGGTCAACGACAGACAGGGTTTCGTACCCGCGGCTTATGTTAAGAAGATTGAGGCCGTGTTGTCGGCCAGTCAACAGCATTTGGCCCATCAGAACAGTATCGGCGCCCGACAGACACAGATCGAGGCCCAGTACGACAATCTGCTCGCACTCGGAAGGTATGTGCTTTTTGCTAACTTGACTTTTTATAGTTTGCCATTTTGTTATTACCGGTATGATGAATGTAATCGCTTCAAACATAAGGTGTACCTCTTTGTATAGTTTCGAGATCATAGCCTATGATTGTCGTCTCCCAACTCTGATTAATTATTATACATATTTAATACATATAATTAGGGACTCATATTAAAGATTATTAATTTCTGTATTTAATTTGCACTTAAAGGGAACGTAAGGGCAAACTGGAGGAGTCGTGCAAAGCGTACCAATTGGTTCGGGAGGCGGCGGAGTTGGCCCAATGGATCAAAGACAAGGAACAGGTGGCGGCCGTACACGAAGTGGGCGACGNGGACACTTTTATATTTGCCGGACACGACACCACCGCTATCTGTCTCTCCTGGACCTATCATTTTATCGGTATTTCTATTGAATACATTTTTATACAGTATTTCATAAGATGTGTAAACTAAGCATTTGGATAAACCAAACCTAAACCTGTGTCCCATAAGCATAATGTTAAAAACATCAGTTGTGTGAACAAATTATTTGTGTGAACCAAATGCCCAAACTTCACACAACTCATTACTTACCGCATCAAAGTATTTAAAACAGATATGTTTTAAAAATAATTTATTTGCTTGATTATTACAATACATTATTAAGCATTTTATAATAAGTTAGTCACATTAATTGTTATAAATAAATTGTCTATATTTAATATTATAATGTTTGTCATTATAAAGTATTTAAAAATTTTATTTAGGTTTATATCCGGAAATTCAACGCAAACTACACCAAGAATTGGATTCAGTTTTGACGACCGATTGTATGGTAACTATCGATGACATCAAACGAATGCCATATTTAGAGGCAGTAATCAAAGAGTCCCTAAGACTGCGACCACCCGTTCCCGTCATTTTGCGGGCCATTAAACAAGACATACAATTAGGACAGTATGTCATTCCCCGAGGCGTGACATTGGGTCTAATGATTGATGTAATGCATTTGGATCCCGATATATATCCGGATCCGTTGACATTCAATCCGGAGAGATTCCTGACAGCTGGTGAGGGTAGGGATGCGTTCAGTTTTGTGCCCTTCTCTGCGGGAGTGCGCAATTGTATCGGACAAAAGTTTGCCTTAAATGAGCTGAAAATAGTTTTGGCCAAAACTCTACGACTCTATCACTTCCAGTCACTCGAACCGAGAGATCGTTTGATTGAATACAACGCTATCGTTAAGAAACCCAAGAATGGCATTAGGATTAAAGTCAGTCCCAGATATCAAGCATAGACTTACATACGATATTATGTAACAATTAAAAAGTTTATTATTATTAATTTTACTTTTTTTAATTGAGTAATTAGAAATAAATTGTACTAAAAATAAAATCAACATTATAGAAAAATTACCATATAAAGTTTATAGTATTAACTTGTAATTCTTTTAATAAATTAAAGTACCATTTAATCTATATATAAAATATATCTTTTCTGCAAATTAATAAACATATAGTAATTTTACAAACAATAATATAAGTTTTATTTATTTTGTTGCTAAATGATGGGACAAAATTAATTGATATTTACTTATAGTTGTAGTGTGTAATTTTGTCCTGTTTTCTACTATTATTATTTAAAAATCATAAAACATACTGTAAATAAATACTAATTATAAATTACATTAAATGTTTATCTGACATATGTCTCAAATTAATCCATAAGAGGACTATCTATCGTTGTATTTAATATGTAACTTTATTGGTTTGCAAATTTCTGTAATGAATTTAATTAAACAAATATTATAAACACAAATTATCACAAATTATAGCAAATAGTAATTAGTCAAGTAATTACTGTATTAATTACAATAGATATAATTAAGAAATTTAACTAATGATTAATGAGAGTAAAAACAATTAAAAAGTCAACTCTTTATTGAAAATTACAAACAAAACAAAAAATACAAATATTCAAATATCAATAATAACTATTTTTGAAGTTTAATAATAACAATATGTTTAATTAACATCAATATGGGCTCAACGTGTTCATTGGCTCTGTCGTTGGGCTGCGGGAGCTTTTCTGGCGGTTGAAGCGGGTGTCGGCCCGTCGATTGGTTCGGCTGAAGCGGCCGCACCAGACTTAGGGCCCGTACGGACTCCCAAACCGTTAGCCTTGGAGAGCGCGTTGGCCGACGAGTTATTGAAGGCTCGGGCGGCGGCGTTCGCCAGACCTTTATTGTCCGCTTTAGCGCCCGATTTGGCGATAGAACCGCTCCCGGCGTCGGAACTCGCGTTGGACTGCGAGTCGTCGTCCGAGTCGGCGGTGGCGTCCGCCTGAGCCATGACCTCAGACGAGTCGTCCGTTGGCATCGCGACGGCCACCGCTATGGCCAACACACACCCCAACATTAGCGCCAAAGCAAACTTCATTGTGGATTTAAATTGTGGTCTTAAATCTTATTATCAATTAATTGATTTTATAATTAAATCAGTAATTGATTAAAAGTCACAACTGTTACAAAATGAACGCTACTTTTAATTAAAATAAATAATTAAATGTTGCGCAAAATGTTTAGTGGTTTTGCAATACTGTAATGTAAAATATGATGAGATGTGAGTATATTAAAACTGTATATACGGTATGTTTTATGAGTTTACCGTTTTGTTTTAAATTTATAAATTTTATAACATTAATAATGCCATTCTTTTGACTTAAGTATAACCTTACTATATATGACTAGCTCATGTCTGACTCCTACAAAGTTATCATGATGTTAAAATAATTTTGCAACAACTTTATCATTTAACATAATTTGTATATTGAAAATGCAAATATGCCTGCGTCAATGTTGGGTCAAGGTCGATGTTGGGCATCAATTCTAATGGGCACCGGGTAGAGGACATTGACGGGCCGATCGTATACGTAAACGGTGGGCAGCGGTCGCGTCAATCGGCGCAAGTCGTTGGCGAAAATAGCGGCCAATACTGTGGCCGCGAAACACACGACACATGCCATCCAATAGAAGGACAGAAATACCGAAACAGCCGTCACTCCAAACGTTAAGATAGACATCACTATCGCGTAGCCCAGTGTCAGCCGGAAGTGCTCTTTATATGCGCCCAATGCTCCCACCAGTATTGTGGCTATGCTTATAGAGCCCACACCTGCCGTAACGCCAATCATTGTTGTCTATGGACATCAATTAACAAACATTGTGTGTATGAGAGAGTGAGTGTGTGTGTGTGTGTGTGTG